TTTTCGTTATAGTTGCACGTTTGCGGACTTAAAAAAAAAAAAAAAATTGGTATAAACCCCGCAGCTATTACATCACATATACACACAGGTAGCTCCTCTCTGTTGGCAATGCCAAAAGACCAAGGGCATATGCCATATATTCTGGGACTGCCCTAGACTACAGGACTATTGGTCTACACTTAAAAGCAAAACCTTTTCTTTGTTTTATATAGAGTGTAAATGCATTAGAACTCCTGTCAAGTTTTTATTGCTGTCTGTGTACCCATTTGGGAGATTCACCCTCTCTATTTGCCTTGTTTATCATTATCATTGAAAGGAAAAATTGCAGGGGTTTCCTCTCACTTCTTGTTTTGGTTATGGGACAGGAAGTGAAGGTACATCTTCCCAATGGGGCACATATGGCAAAAAACTGACAAGGGTTATAGGTCTCCCTTACTCCTTCCAAAATGAAAAACAAAACAAGTTTTGCCTATAGTTCTACTTTAAAACCACTATTAAAACGCTTACAGGTATGTCTATTGCAGATAAACTAGATACTTATACATCATTATACACCACTATCAATTAAACACTACAAGAATGCCCTTCCCAAACATGTGGCAAAGGCTTTTATTCATGTGATGTGAAAACAACCACCTAGAAAAGACCAGTTGTTCACTAGAATAAATGACAGGACAAATGGAACAGCTTACTGTATTTCAGACATAAAATATCAATAGAAAAAGTACTTTGAAACTTGGATGCCATAGTTCCTCTTAATGTCTTAACTTTGGATAAGCGAGGATCTTAACTGTCCTGGGCTTTGTTTCATGCAGGGTTTGTTGAACTTCAAAGAAGTTCAGATGCTGAACCCGAACCCCACTGAAATGAACAGGAGTTGAATCTGTCAAATTTAAAATGGACATTTTCTGGGCTAATAGGCAAGAGGGTGTCAAAAATAGCATGTGGATTGGCAGTGCCCTGGGCAACATGTACCAATGCAACAATGTTATTTTATGAGGCCTGGACTTTTACAAAGGAAAATTTTTAAAATTGCTAGCAAATGACAACTCCCTCCTTGCTTGTTTTTTTTTAAAGAGGAATGGTACACAGACCTCAAAGGTCCTCCAAAATACATTGCAGGTGAAAAGCAGATCACACGGGGTAATATAGTCATCCTGTATGTAGCTGAAGTGTCAGAAAAACTCCACACCAGAAGGATCTTTAACAATCATTGCATCCATGTGCCTTTCAAATTCAGCAGTACGCTAAGACAGAAGCTTGTACATCAAAAAGACCTAACACCCAAACACAAGTGAAGTAACTTGGTATATGCAGTGCAGTGTAGTGAAGAATGCAAAGATCTGTACATTGGGAAGACAAAGCAACCTCTCAACAAATGAATGCCACTACATAGGTGGGCAAATTCCACAGTTCAAGGCTCAGCAGTCTTTCTACAACTTAAAGAAAGGACAGAGAGATTCACATTTTGGACAGAACGGACAGCTGAGAAGAATAAAAGAGGCCATCTAAGTCAAACTAGAACAAACATCCTTCAACCAAGTTTGGACCTCTGACATCATCTGTCTCCTACATATAATGCCATTTTAGCATCTCTGCCCCAGGATTTGGAAACATTTATTATGCATCCTAAGCATTGTACATCAACGTTTTAAAGTGGTTGTAAAGGCTCAAGGTTTTTTACCTTCCTGCATTCTATGCATGAAGGTAAAAAAACCTTCTCTGTGCAGCATCCCCCCCAGCCCCCCTAATACTCACCTAAGCCCCCTCTCAATCCAGCGATGTGCACTGGAGTCTTGGCTATCCCGGGACTCCCTCCCTTTTGGCTGAGAAAGCAGCGGTAACCATTGGCTTCCACTGCTGTCAATCACAGCCAGTGAGCCAATGAAATGTGAGAGAGGGGGGGCGAGCTGTGGGGGCACCCGACAGGAGGGAGGGGCCAGGAGCACCTGTGGGGGACCTGAGAAGAGGAGGATCTGGACTGCTCTGTGCAAAACCACTGCACACAGCAGGTACGTATAGACATGTTTGTTCTTTTTTTAATGTAAGCCTTTAGAATCACTTTAACACCTATGCAGACTTTCGTGGCTAGATCAGGGCGGTTCCACAACTTTTACACCACCTATCCTGTTCTTGAACAATAAATATCTGCCTTGACACATTCCATGGGAATTTAATTAAGCTGTCAATGCTACCTTTGTGGATATAAATGCTGGTAAATTTCCTGACACTCATACAAATTGAAGAAGTGGCTTAGATAAGCTATGAAATGTCTTCATTACATAACAAGTCCAGTTAAATGTGACTAACTACTAGTAGCTGCAGAATGCTATACACATTGAATACCTTCTGTGAATCCAGCTAAAGGAAATATTCTTTTTATAACCACTTCTGCTAAAACTGATAACTAATATGTATAATTGTTATTTTATCCCTTTGTAATTATCTTTTCTATTTTCCGGCCAAGATATTCTGTAACTGTAAAAAAAAATTTCTGCAACCATGGTAACTATCTTTAATTTGTAGTCAGGATTTCCTGAGTCCTAATCCCCTTGTTTTTGTAATTAGTGCACAGATTACCCGTCACAGATCTTGAGGTCAAATTAGAGGCAGCCTGGTTCCACTTTAGTTAGATACTTGCACATGTTTTTAAAGTGCCACTAGTTCTTATTACAGCACTGGCATAGCCTCCCATTCAGCAATGGTATTGAAAACTTTATTGCCTTTCTTTTTATCTAAGTAAAAGAAGAAAGTAAGGATCTGAAATAAAGTTTGCTAGGATCCGTGAAATGTTTTAGATTATTTTATTTAGATGAAATGGTAATTCACAGGGCATGCTTTTATAGCCCAAATCCAGCAAGACTTTTATTTTGATAGAGTAGAGGATAGTTAGAAGGTCTGTCCGGTTTTATTATTGTTTTCTGTGCCCTTACTCCCCTCTCTTCCTGTTTTTTTCACAGGAACCAGAAGTGATGTGAGTTTTTTCCATTGGGCACAAAAGACAACAATAAGAACACTTTTTGCGCCTTCCTGCCCCAGAGACATCTCTGCTCCTTTCCCTTTTGTTACTGGAAATTTCTCCTGTGAGGTCACAACAATAAAATTAACTGACAGAAATTCTAATTATCAGTCTCACCATCCAAAATTAAAGATGTTTTAGCTGGATGGAGTTGGGTTTTAGTTTCTTTGTTTTTAGGTAAGATACATGCACAGAGTGCCATGCTTCTTGTACAGTGACAATCCACCTAGTCTTGTCCTGTTTTTTGTTGGCAGCTCCAGTTATTAAAAAGAAAAACAAGTGGTTGAAAAAGTGTATTAGAAAGAAAGGATCAGGGTGCAGGTAGAACTGCCCTATTATATGCCCAATTTCTGGCAAAGGAAAAAAAAATACTGTAGAGAACTTCCTGTAAGGGAATAATTGCTTCACTTTCTTCAGATGGTAGCACCCTTTCATCTCCCACTTAGGCTGGGTATACACTCAGTACATTCATTTACTTGATGAAAGTCGTTTGAAACTACTTCAATATTGCGTTTGCTTTTAGTATGTGATTTTGGAATAAATGGACTTGCACAAACAAAAACCAAATACACTAGTAGAAATACACTATATTACCAAAAGTATTGGGCCTTTACACACACATGAACTTTAATGGCATCCCAGTCTTATTGTGTAGGGTTCATCATTTGGAACCAGCAACATTTCGCATCCAAGTCTTAGTCCGTACCCAAGCCCAACCCCTGAAAAACAACCCCACACCATAATCCCCCCTCCACCAAACTTTACACTTGGCACAGTGCAATCAGGCAAGTACCAATCTCCTGGCAGCCACCAAACCAAGGCACATCCATTGAATTGCCAGACAGAGAAGTGTGATTTGTTACTCCAGAGAATACATCTCCACTGCTCTAGAGTCCAGTGGTGGCATGCTTTGCACCACTGCATTGCACTTGGTGATGTAAGGCTTGGATGCAGCTGCTCAGCCATGGAAACCCATTCCATGAAGCTCTCTACGCACTTTTGTTTTGCTAATCTGAAGGCCATATGAAGTTTGGAGGTCTTTAGCTATTGACTCTGCAGACAGTTGGCGACTGCTGAGCATGCGCTGACCCCACTCTGTCATTTTACATGGCCTGTTGCTGTTGTTCCCAGTTGTTTCCACTTTGTTATAATAATACAAACAGTTGACAGTGGAATATTTAGTAGCAAGGAAATATCATGGATGTACATATTGCACAGGTGGCAACCTATCACGGTACCACACTTGGATTCATTGAGCTCCTGAGAGCAATCCGTTCTTTTACAAATGTTTGTAGAAGCAGTTTGCATGCCAAGGTGCTTGATTTTATACACCTGTGGCCATGGAGGTCATCGGAACACCTGAATCTAATGATTTGGAGGGAGTGTCCCAATACTTTTGGCATTATAGTGTATTATCAGTCAAGAAAGAATTTTCATTCTGCTTCTTCAAATTTTATTGTCACTGCGGTCAAAAACAAATGTATATTTGACCCCACTAACAATTAGGAAATCAAACAAATTTTATAAAAATGAAAAATGTAGACTGAGATTCTACTAGTGTATGGCTAGCCTAATTCTGATGAACAGATTAGTTAAGATGGCCTATAAATAAAATAAAATATGGGTAATGCAAAAGGTAACACAGATTTGAAAGTATACATGCAGGCAAATTGTTTTACTTGTAATTTGAATTTGTTGGCATTAGTTTTGTAAACTCATTGCATTGTGTATTAAAATTGCTGAGGGATTTTTTTTGTATTCTCTTGAAACAAATTATTTCTTTTTAAAGACATTCCGATTTAAAATCTAAGGCACCATTCACATGCAAAGTTGCAGGGGAGCCCTTTTTTCATATCATAACAAATATTGTATAGAAGAGTAAGCACAATAATAACAACAACACATGGAACACATTATAAATGAATGGCAGTTTGTAGATTTTATTTTTTGCTAACCTGTCTTCCATTGTTTTGTTGTGCAGGTGGCTTCATCAGTTTCAATGGATCTTGGCGAGTTCAAGGGATTTTGGCGATGTCCCGTTCTTTGGGGGATTACCCTTTGAAGAACCTAAATGTCATTATCTCAGACCCCGATATCTTAAGCTTCGACCTTGACAAGCTACAGCCTGAATTCATGATCTTGGCGTCTGATGGCCTGTGGGACGCTTTCAGCAATGAAGAAGCTGTCCGGTTCATTAAGGAGCGCCTGGATGAACCTCACTTTGGAGCCAAAAGCATTGTGTTACAATCCTTCTACAGAGGATGCCCCGATAACATAACAGTTATGGTAGTAAAGTTCCGGAATAGCAGCAAAACAGATGAACAATAAGTTGTCTGCAATCTATATATATAAATATATATACATATGTACAGATGGACTTCGGGCAAACGATTTTATTTTATCTAAGTAGGAAAAAAATGTGGAAATGTTATTAAAGTTGTCCCATGGCCTCATATTCATGTCCCAAACCATAACATGGACTCATGCAGCTAAGGTATCTATCAATTGTAAGACTATGAACACATAAAACGTACATATGAGATCCAACATTGTTACACTGTTAAAAAGCAATTCTCTGTATTAAAAGGAAGTGTTACCCCCTCAGCAAGACTTTTTTGTTTGCTTTGCATCAGATTGTACTGTATCTGGAAAATCACATTTGTTTCAATCAAAAGTGACAAACAAGTATTTAAAATACTGTTTATAAGTTCTAAGGAGCAGGTAAAATAGTCAAAGAAAAACTCACTTGATAAGATCCCTTTCACTCCTTTGTATGTTCTACATGCAATTTTAAAGCTACTGCCCTGGGGTTTGGCAGTTGTTTGTAGCTCTCGCAGTTATCATCCAAATTGCAGATATCAGCCAGCACACTCCTTATGTGTTTGAGCACTCGAGGAAAGGAAACTGTGCCCAAAATATTTTGTGGGATATTCATATCAAAAGATCATTTCATAAGCCATTTATGTTTCCTTTCCTCAATCTATAACATTATGTAAGCATACCTAAGTAATCATAACAGTTTTTAAGATGTAATTTTGCAATATTGAACCTAACATTTACAGTTTGTAAACATAAAGCACATTGTATAAACTTAAAATGATTGTAAAGTTACATTTTTTTTTAAACAACAAAGATTTCAATGGTTTTGCACAGAGCAGCCCCAATCTTTCTCTATTGGGGTCCCCCAACCTAGATCCTCTTCTTCTTTGTGTACCACCATAGGAAGCCACTTTTTTTTTTGTTTCATGAATGTTTTATTGAAAACAAGACGACCCTTACAGATACTAGATAGTTGTTATGGTAGAGACATAATCAGAGATGTTAAACATGAGATATTAGGAGTGGATCACATATGAAAATCAAAGACATAGAATAGAGGACGTGGAATTGACCAGTGAAAATCAAACATATGGAACACTGAAGCAACATATTAACAAGAGCTGATGCATTGGAACCTAACAGTAAACACAGTGTCCGTAAGGCTACTTAAATCCCTTATTGTTTGCCTCACCCAGACTATGGTGCACATCAGTATTTGTTCAAATGTGCTGCCCGGTAAAAATAGCTATGTTATGTTACTAATTTCAGTTTTATTTAAATTGAGAGAAAAAAAGATATAGATAAATAGAGTACAAAGAGGAGAAAAGAATGAGGAGAGAAAAAAAAGGGGGGGAGATGAAAGGATGGGGGGAAGCCACTTTTTATGGAGGCACACATGTGGGCTCGATTCGAGCTGTGTTGTGTGTGTCCATTTACACACACAGTGTAACTGGGCCCTCAGTCCATTGAGGAGGTGGAGAGAGAGGATTGAGTAAGTATTTTGGGGGCTAGGGGAGAGCTGACAATAGAAGGTTTTTTATTTTAATGCAGAGAATACAATAAGGTAAAGAAAGCCTTCATCTTCTACAACTACTATAACAAATGGGTGCCTTATCAAAGCAATTATCTGCCCAGAGAATGGGATTGATTTACTAAGGGAGTAGTGACTGTTCAGCTAGGAAAGTGAGTGTTTACACTGAATACTGGATGTCTACTTTGCAAACTGAATGGTAGTATATAAGGTGAACCTGTGTTTTCTTTGAATACCTGACAATGTGCAGTGGAAATTAAATTAACTGGATTTTTGTTCGCAAATGACTGGCTGATTGAAGTAAACACTACTTCATCCTGTTTGCTCAGTAAACATTTACTTTGCCAAGTTAACCTATATTCCTTTAGTAAATCAGCCCCAATGCATAAAAAGAACAAATAATATTTTTTCATTTGTCTTATGCTTAAAGGCAAACATAAAAAAAAAAGTCTTATTTTGTATGATTACAATTTCATTCTCTTATTCAAATGCCTTTGTATGATAATAACAGTTGCTTACAGTTTATATGAACATTGATTTTGATGATGGCAAGAAATGGCTGTTAAATGTGCCATCTTGGCTGTGAGTGCCATCTTGGCTCTGGCCATAGAATTGAAAGTCCTTTGTCAGTACTAACAATCCCAACCATACGCATGCATTGGGGTTGATTTACTACGGGTAAATAGGCTGTTCATTGGCATTTTTCCCTCAGCTTAGTGAATGTAGTAAAATGAATACCAATCACATGCAAGGAAAATAAAAAAAAAAAAACACTGCTTTGCTAGAACATGATTGGATGATGAAAGTCAGCTGAGCTTCACCTCATTTACTAATGAATAATTTTCTATGCTAAATAAACAGCGTTTATGCCTTTAGTAAATCAGCCCCAATGTAGTTCAAGGTCATGGTGTCTTGGGACATTTGCTGCAGGCGCTTATAGCACAAGAGTGAGCCGTTAGACTGAGGCATGGTAATCTTTTAGCTTAGTCAGCGAGTTGGGAGGTTACTATATGATATGGACTGCATTTTGGGCAGTTTTTTACATAAAGTATTCTGACTCCAATTGTTGTATTAGTGACTTATCCCTTGCTGAGACCTCTATGCCTGGCCTGTATCAGCAGATAAAATCACTGTGGACAGTCTTTATCAGATAGCTGAACTCACCAAACACCTTTTTCTCATTCACAGATGTTTTGTTGCAATGCAGAAGGTGCAGCAGACAACAAGATGTAGCAGATGATTGAAAAGACAGTATTTGCATGTCAAACATGGTTATGTGTTCCTGAATGCAAGCAGATTACATGTGGCCTAGAGACTAGCAGCCATATTCATCCCAATAAACACAGATTGAGAAGAAAGAGGAAATGCATCACAAGTGGGAGGAACACAGGGTGGAAGATAGAAAAGGATGGCGCCATAACCAAAATAACCACAAGATGGCAGCATACTAACCAACTATACTGAGGTCAATGAAAATAGCTTAAAGTGGAGTTCCAGTAATTTTTGTGTCTATTAAAAGTCAGCAGCTACAAAAACTGTACCTGCTGACTTTAATAAACACACACTCACCTGTCCCCCAGGGTCCAGCGATGTGCTCACCCCTGCTGTCCCTTCTCTCCCTCTTCTCTCCCTAGTGCTGACATCTCACCTGTGGGCACCAGGCTGTGACAGCTTGCGGCTTCACAGCCGGGTGCCCAGTGCGCATGCGCGAGTCGCGCTGCGCAGCTTGATTGGTCTTGCAGTCTTCTGGGACCTGTGAAGTTTCCCAGAAGACTGAGGGAGGAAGAGAGGGCTGAACTTCTGGCTCACTTTGCCATGGCGAACTGAGCCGGAAGTGGGAGCAGGTACCTGTCAAAATCAGGTATCTGCTCCCCCTCCCCCAAAAAAAGTGCCATATATGGCAGTGGAGGGGGGGAAGGAGGCAAACAAGCAGAGCTTTCACTTTTGGGTGGAACTCCGCTTTAAGGAAAATTAGCTATATAAGTTCTCAGTTCGCAGTAATATGAACATTAACCATGACTGTGCTTTGTATTATATTTTCACACAAGAAGTGTAACAGCACATAAAGGATCAGAAAAATCCAAAATGTGCTAGCAGTACGGAACTGATCTATTCATGCAATATTAACTGAAACATATTTATAATATTATTTGGGCTGACAGCTTCCCTTTAAAGAAGAAGTCACAGTGTCAGAAATCACTACTTACTTTTCTTTAAATAACTCCCGATATTTCTCATGCTCCAAATATGAAAGTGGTGTCTAGGAAGATTACTTAATGCTGGAGATTGTCATAAAAACACTAGTGAGAAAAAAATCTGTGGGATTCAATACAAACTTGCAGACTTGCCATAAAATTCTGGTTTTTGAATGCTGGTAACAAGGTGAATCATTTTTTTTTTGGACTCTCAGTGTGGTTTAAGTCATTAGTGCATCCTAACTTCTCATAGCAAACAGAGCTTAAAGTGGTATAAAACCTAAAAGCAAAATTTTTTTATATTGCAGCTTACCAATTATTAGATGTGGTGGGTGCATCTGTTTTATTTTTTAGACTTTCTTTCTTTTCTTTTCAGCTGGTAATCTAGCTAGTAAGTTTGTTGTTTTTCAACAGAACACGCTCTCCTGAAAATGTAACAGTTAAGAGTGTCAAGACAAACTACTTACTACTTACAATGATCAGCTTTTATTTATGCATGTAAAACCTTTATCCCCCCAAAAAACAGGTGATGTAACTGTTTTCATTAGTAGAGCTACAAAGGCTAGCAGATTGCCTTGGTGCAGCACGAGAACTACAAGACTCAAGCACAAATGGTGATGAAACCCACCCTACTTTAAAACGCACAATTCACAGTTAGGACTGCTATAACACTGCAGGTTTTTGTTAATTCAGCTGACAAACATATTTGGTTAGTTACACATTAAGAAAGAATCTAAGGAATGCAAACACTAGATGCTATCAATTGTCTGATAAAGTAGGCACATGTTCAAAGACCTGCAAAATAACTCGTGATATGTATTTAGTAATTTTATCACATATACCTGGACATCGGGAAGCTGTGATCTTAAAAGAACTTTATTATGAGAGAAATGTGTAGCCTGCCATTGCTGGCTAAAACTGATAGTTGTCCGGCTCATACTTTGTTCTTAATACTTTCTGAATTACTAACCCAGATCAAGTATAGAGACTAGTTCTTAATCTTATCCAGCATGTATTTGCTGCATGCTTGTTCTAGGTCACACTATGTTTTTAATACTTTCTGAATTACTAACCCAGATAAAGTATAGAGACTAGGTCTTAAAGCAGAGCTCCAGGTTCCGCCCCCCCCCCCCAAAAAAAAAAAAAAAATTCAGCAGCTACAAATACTGACTTTTAATATAAGGACACTTATCTATCCAGGGATCCAGGGATGTCCTCACCTGAGCAGATTCTTCAATCGGCTTAGGGTGCAGGTGCTGGCATCTTTAGTAAGGGGATCCGGA